AAGCAGATTACTAACAAACTTAACACATAGTTTCTGTAGGCAGAAAGATAAAAAGTCAAGAAAAGGGATTTCATAAAATAGATTACAAAATATACTAATATACACAGATCATATATTCCTCAGTGTAACACTAAGAAGTACCAGTTATAGAGATAGCTCTGGAGACCATTTTTGTATTGAACAACTTCCTTTCTAACATCCTACATTCGTTCCTTTTTTTATTTAAGACTAAAAATCCAGTTCTGTCCATCTATGGTAGATACCATCTGCCTGCTAAGAGATTTCCATCCAATCCTTTTCCGTTAACACTCTGCAGGTCACAAAAAATACTCTGGGTAGGAGACCCACTAGGGCAGATTTTTGTGGGAACTCAAAAGTTGTGAGAGAAAAAAGAAGTCAGGTCATATGTTTAAATGAAATAGGTGACGTGTTTAAGTAGAAATCTTGAGAAATGCTAGGGGAATTCTGTGAATTGAAGTTCACACACCTTAAAATTGACAGATTTTAACACTGCTTTTCAACACTGAAGTTGAAAAATACACAAAGCCAGAGATACACTGTTGCCAGAAAAAACCCTCTACATGGATTTAAACTTTATTAGCTTCTTTAGTATGGATTGTATAAAATAGCAGCACAGGTAGAAATTGTGTTCATGTTAAATCTTTTTTAAATGCAGAATGCTGATTATACAACGGGACAAGTATTTGACCTGTCAGAAAAATTAGAGCAGTCAGAAGCTCAACTGGGACGAGGAAGCTTCATGCTCGGTTTAGAATCCCATGACAGAAAATCGGAGGACAAACTAGCCAAAGCAACAAGAGACAGGTAAGGTCATATTCATTTGAGATTTTGGATTAAGAATAAAATATTTAATTGTATGAAGATTTCATACTCTTAATATATAGAATATGTTCTTGTGCATATCTGCCAAATACAAGTTGCCTATTTCAATGGTTATTTTTGTTAGCATTTAGAGCTCCTAGATATGAATATTTCATTTTTTCATATCAGCATGAGTTATGAAGCTAAATATATTTTTTAATTTATTTAATGAACAAATGGTTGCCCATCCCACTATATTAAGTGACACTGAATAGTTTCAAATATATGTGAAGAGAAATATAATTTTAATGTATGTATGTAATATATGAAAGTATGCTTGTATATTGGGGAAATTAAGCCATTTTTCCATTTGGCAACAGTCTATGTTTCATGAGCTATTGAGTGGATAGCTGATTGTTAACCCAAAAGGGGAGCTAACTTGCTTCAAGGTAGCCAATGTATGTATTCCATCCAATACCATGGTTTTAAGAGAGCTGCTGCTAGACCATGGACAGTACCAAGCTAGATAAAGTAAGATTTTCATTCCATATACTAGCCACCTGTGTTTTACATTATCTATTTAAAAAACATGGATGACTAATGTATGGAATGAAATTCTGACTTTATTTAGTTTAGTATTATCCATAGTCTTAGCAGCAGCTTTCTAGAATTAAAATCTGTTTTTCTTAGTCTTGACAGGAAAAGTAAGTAAGTAAGTAAGTAAGTTTTTTAAATGCAGCATGTGTTTAATATCTGAATTAGAGCCTTACAGATCTTCTCTGGAATATAGAATAGAGTAGAGAGTATAATGAGAAGAAAATATTTGACATTTTAAGTAATTTTTCACTAAACCATAATGTGGCTTGCTGGGTTTTAGTTTGGCATTATATGTGAACCAGCCAGTGTAATTGGTAAACTATAATTGAGATATATAGCTACAGTGACTTTGAACAGTGTACACAGTGTTTTGCAAATAATAGGAATCTGCCCCATTATTAGTCATTCCAAATAACTGACAAAGCAACTTCAAGGAAAATGGAGGAATGACTGCAGAATATGATTATGTTGATCACACATACTCAATTTTAATTACAGAACTTTGTTGAAACAATACTGTGTTAATGAATCTACATTAAATACTATACTATTATTGTAAAGCATAGTAAGGAGTCCCTGCAGATTTTACTCTGCTAGTTGCCGACTATAGGAGACATTGCTCATCTCCATTTCAGGGCCATTGAGCCAGTGTTGTTCGAAATCATTTCTGCAGTCATGTGGCTAGCATGATGTTGCAGAGAGCTGTTACCTTCCCACCAAAATGATACCTATTTATCTACTCTCATTTGCATGCTTTCAAACTGCTAGATTGGCAGGAGCTGGGGCAAGGACAGGAGCTCATCCCATCGCATGGCGCTCAGGTCTCAAACCTGGGCTGATTGCTTTCCAGCCAACAAGCCCAACATCTTAACCACTGAGCTACCACACTGCCCTATAGCATAATACATACAATGTTTTCTATATTATAGTTCAGGTCCATAATTTGTACCATTGTACAGCTACTTAAAGAGAATGTTATTTTTTAATTCCTTTTGATTGTAAAATACTGTATTTGCTTTTTCATAACTAAATGATAACATTTATGCAATTATGGAAATTGTATTAGGACATGTGACTAACTTGCAATATAATGACAAAGTTCATTCAGCCATTTATGTTTTTGCTTTTCTCTCAGCTGCAAAACCACAATAGAAGCAATACATGGACTGATGTCTCAAGTTATTAAGGACAAGCTTTTTAATCAAATTAACATTGCCTGAAGAATATCATCAACTGATACTTATGTTCAGGATAGAGAAGACATGCCTATTTGGACTAATTTCAGAACTGGAACTTGAGCCAAAATGGAGATTTTCGATGGATTTGTAGTACTTTAAATCATTCTTTCCCACTTCTTTGCCTAGTTTTAAGAACAGTTTACGATAACATTGCCTAGTTTACGATAACATTTTGTTGATTGCTTCAAATAAATCAATAGGTTGTAGAAGTTCAGAAGTTATCTGTGTCAGTCTGCAATAAAGATATCTTAAAATGTCTCAACTGCTCTCTTTTTTTCCTTTAATATTATAAGTCATTTTCATTCTTTGTGGTAAATTTTGTCCTGAGCCAAAACTATTTTTTTTTTTCCTGAACTGTGCCTACCCATCTGCACAATCTCTCCTGCAGTGGAAATGCTTCTTTTTCAATGAATCCATGGCTTAGTTCACAATTATTTCTTAAAGTCAGATCTTTCTAATTTATATAGGTGATTGTGGCTTTTCTTGGAAACTGAAGGGCTGGTCCTGGTTAGTATTTGGAAAAGAGAAAAAAGTGCCTAAGAATTCCAGGGCTCTTGACTAGAGTGAGAAGTCAAAAAAATCATCCTGGAAAAATGTATAATATTCTGAGGAAACTGTATGGATGCAACAATATGAATCAAACTCAAATTGATGACATCTTAGTCTAGGAATACAAAATATAGGTGCTAAATGTGTGAATGCCTTTTAGTTATGATTCTCCTTGTAAGCTTAATGCATTGTCCTAGACTAGAATTTCTAGGTATAGCACCGAGTCACATCTGATGAATCCCATCCTTTGAAGAGACATAGCACTTTGATTATAATGCTGTAATCATTCCCACACTGATCAAGTTATCAGTGTATTTTTGGGTTTTAGCACACCATGATCTTATATAAAGTAATTTATGTATAAATTATAAAACTACTAAAGTAATTTCAGAACCTAAGGTGCAAGATAATCTGTCAGCACAGAAAATTCAGCCCTTCCTAAAGAAATGTTTAAAGGGAAAAATATTCTTGGGGACAAGCGCAATTAAAATCCAGTTTTTTCTTTTAGCTCTATTTTGCTTAATGAAAATGGGAAGAGTTATTTCCTAATATAAAATTACTGTATTGAGGATTCAGCAAAATTAAGACAAAATTTGTCTTACTAACTGGTAAAATCTGTTGTTTTACTAAATGACTGATCAGTATTACTTGAAAATGTAATATTAAGTACAATTTGATTGGAGCATTACATAAAAAGAACTACAGTTTTACGGTATATTTTCCTAGACTGAAGTAATTTCTTTAAAATATATTGGATCCAACAGAACCTGTCTGCTCTGCTCAAGAACCCAACAGGAGCTGTCTGCTCTTATTCAGGATCATGCTTTATTACTATCCTTATTGATGAAGAGAGTTCTGCCTACAATTGCCTATAAACACTGAAAGAGATCTGCTTCATGTGATGCTAATTAATAGAGCAAGTTCAAAGAACATGAGTGGATGCCAGTGCGATTATGCATGACTATTTATAAATTCAATTTACATGGTACTTAACTCCAATTAATCCAAGCAGCTTGCATTAAACAGAATAAAAATATAAAAAACCAATAGCATAACTATAACAACTAAGCAACCTAATATGTAATTTTGGGGCAGCAAAATATTAATTGACCAAACAATAAACAAAATCTACAGGTGCACTTGATGGAATAACATCTCTTTCTAGGAAAAGCAACTAGCAAAAGGAAAATTGGGTCCCTCATTCCCATAAGAGACCCTGATCCTCCGCCCACAATTCTGCACGCTCCTGAAGAGAACCTGTTTTATATTACAGTATCACCTTTTTCCCTATTCTTGAACAAACCCCATCTCTGTACTTCCATCTATCTACATGAATCCATAAAAGAGCAACACCTAACAATTTACCCAGAAGATACAGGTGCCTTCTATGACCACTGTGACTAAAGAACTTGGAAAGAATTGCTCTGCCTTTTTTAAGAATATGCTTTTGTTCTTACAAAATTATCTTTCTTCGAATTAAAAGAACCATTTTTTTCTCATCCACCAACAGATCCTCAGAGTGAACACTTGACATGGTTTTATCCTGACTCCAAGGCTACTCCAAGCCGAACTGAATTGAAAAGCATATATAGTTTAATTTTGTGTATAACGCACATTTGGCTGATTAAAGTGAAACCTTTTGTGAGGACTAAAATTTGACGTGTGTGTATGTGAGAGAGAGTGAGAGGGAGAGAGAGAATTCAATCCATTGAATTGGATTGATTGAAGCATATTCGAAATAAGCTCTAATCAACAGAAAATCAGTCTTTTTAATGTCTGAATAATTACAGTATTTGAAATATTAATGCCACCTATTATATAATATTATAAAATATAAACGCCAGCTACCAGATGCATTATATGTATTAGACTTGTAGTTCTTTTTCTATTATTATTTTCGAAGCGAGGTCAGGACGTTAACAACAAAAAAAAAACAGTTATTAGCAAAAAAAAAAAAAAAAGGCAGCTCAATCTCCTTGTTGAGCTTCAATCATCTCGATGCGAATTCGGGACTTCAACCGAACAGAACAAATCGCCCCCACCAAAGAAGAGACAAGAGAAGACCATTCTAAACCCGGGCTTCACTCCGCCACGGACGCTGCCTTAGTCATAAATAATGGTGCTCCACTTGCCCCGCCTCCCACGCCGCTCACAGAAGGTTTTCGGTAGGTGGGTACTTCTGAAGGCTTTCTATCTCTATAGCAACCGGTCTGCCGGGTTCTGTTTTTCTTTGCTTCTCCGTCTTTCCGCGCCGAAGATCCGCCAGTTTCCACCTTGAGGTTGAGGAGCGAGGAGGGGATTTGCTTATGTAGGTGGTTGGTTCAGACGCGATAGCGGGCTCGGAGAAATACGCGTGTTTGGAAAATGTGTGGGAAAAGAGACCGCGTTGGGATGACGTGGAGGTTGTTAGGAGCAAACTTCACGGAGCAAACGGGCTTCCACCGTCGGCCTGCTCTGAAGCAACAGCCACATGAGGGCCCGGGTTGGGGTGAGGGGAAGATAGGCTGTCTTGCGAGCCTGTAATCTCTTTTCATTCTCTTCCGAAAGGGAGGTGCTTGTACAGAACTACCATACCGAAACTGCTGAACTGGTTTGCTGTGTGCTGTTTTTCTCTCTCTAAGCATTTCTCCCAGTCGTAGCTCGCATCTGAAGTTTTGGAGAAGTTGGGGAGAAGAGCTGCAGAGTGATGCTCTCCCTTTGCGCTTGTTTTGGTTCTAAAATTGGGTCCTTCATTTCAGTCTCTACGTCCACAAGTTGCTTGCATGCTCTCAGATTTGTCTGATACATGGCAGTAAAAACAAAATCCTGTTCTCACATTGATAATCATTTATCTTTTGCACATGCATCAACCTTAAAAGAGTTTTCTAAAAGAAGTGTGAATATTGGTCAGGCTATTTTGTCAGTGAGAAAATACAGTTCTTGGCATCATCTATTAGCATATGATATTGCTGAAAGCAGGGCTATCATTCATTTAAGGCAGACTTGACAGAACATTAAAAGCCACACAATTCCCTATATTATTTGAATTTTTTTGTGCTTAGCTTTTCCTAAAGCAAAGTAGTTCTCCCCCTCAAATATAATCAAAACAGTTCTCCATCCCAGTATCTTTCATGTCATGAACTTTTATTTTCTTTGCACTGTTTCAAGCATTGGAATATATTTTAGAACACACAGAAGTATTAAATTGTACTTTTTTCTGTGTACACTAAGGCTTCTCTGCATTCATAATGGGGTAGTGGGATAACAGGTTTTAAACTGGAGTAAGATTTCTGCAGTACAAAGTTTGCTTTAAGGCATTGCTTTAAAATGTTTTAGAATGCCTAATAGAATTTCATAAAATTGTCCTAGTTAAAAAAAAAAAAAAAGCACTATTGGAATAATGGAAAAATGGCTCAGCAAGCAATGGGGGGGGGAGTGAAAGATTGAAATGGTTCTATTCCCCCCTCATAATACCCCTTTATCAGCATTTAGTAAATTACAAATTACTCATAACAATAGTTTAGTGAAAAATATTAAAGAGTTAATCCATATTTAGTTAATCCAGATGCATCATGGAAATTTAAAAGCTGAAGCAAGACATGGGAATGATACCCATCTTCCACTGTCACACCCTAGCACTTATTATAGGGCAGGCTGCTTTTATTCTAGACTCTAGAATCTAGAGGAAGCATATAGTAATAGCCATTGATAGACCCATTATAAGGATAGCAAAAATATAAATCAGAATTCCTGCTATCATGTACATAAAAAATGTAATGAAAATCAATACGTTCACTAGAATGCATATTTGATTTATGCAGAAAATGGCTAAGATAGTGTAAAGGAAATTTACTATAGTTAAAATGTTTTTAATAGTACATGTTGTAGATAATATATGATAATGATGTAGCAGCATATTTTACAACTATTTATTTCTATTTTAAGGTAGTGGAAAACTGACTTTATCACAAAATTATGGTGCGATTAACGTTGGAACTTATTGCTAGAAGTCTTAATCAAAAGAATCGCAGAGATGAATCTTTGGCCCAACATCTGAGGAAGCTAACACATCTAAAATTATCTAATAAAAATATAGATGTTATTGTAAGAAATTTTTCATTATGTAAAAAGATAGCTTTTATATTTAAGATTTATTCAGTATTAAATGATATTTAATATTTTGTTTTAATATAAGTTTCTAGTTGGAAATAAATTTCTGATTCTATTTCATGCCATTGCCTTAATTAGTTTAAATAATAAATATTTGATTTGTTTTTTATTGATGAGTTGTTATTTAATTATTTGCAGAAAAATAGTTTTGGACAGACAGTTTTATAATATAGTAATGTTCAGTGTTGTTAATGTTTTCTAGAAACGGGATCTTGTACAAATATAAAACAATTTCAGCATAAGTAACAGTTTAGCACATTGAGTTAGACTTCTTTTTCTTTCAAATGAACCAGCATACATGCTTAGAATAATTTATTGTATACAAAAGTATACAAGGATCATATATTTAATGCATCATTAGGTTACGTGGAATCTTTATCCTGCATCTCAGGCTTATTCAACCGTATTCATGTACTTTGACTGTACTTAAAATTGCAGGTTTAACATAATTTTAGGACTTTTGAAATTTTGCTGAAGCTGTTGCTCATCAATAAATTTTACCAAGAAACATATTTCAATTTTTTCTTGTAGGATGATCTTTCTTTGTGTAAAAATCTTAATGTCCTATATTTATATGATAATAATATTAGACAGATACATAACTTGGACTTTGCGACAAACCTAAGACATCTGTACCTGCAGAACAACTGCATTACACGAATTGAAAATCTAGAATCATTGATAAGACTTGAAAAATTGTAAGTGAAAAATTGTTTCTGTTTTTATTGATTTGTGTGTAATAATCGTAACTTTTAGACTAATAAAATGGAATGAATATATATTTTATATGCGATGCTATATTGCACAAGCTTCACATAAACACTGCATTCAAGAACGCAAGCTTGGTAAACCTGAACATATAAGGTATAATCCCATTTTTCCCATAGCAATTAATTAATTTTTATTTGATTATTGGTGCAATATGTTATGTTTTATTGATTTTATTTCTGAAATACTGAAATAATTCAGTAAAATAATTATTTTATTTTCTATGCAGTTTTAAAAGAAATTCTAAAATAAAAGATCTTTCTATTTTGTTCTATTTCCAGATATTTGGGTGGCAACTGTATCACTGTAGTGGAAGGATTGGAAACTTTAGAGGAACTGAGAGAATTGCATGTTGAAAGCCAGCAGCTTCCCTTAGGAGAAAAACTCTTGTTTGATCCAAGAAGTCTTCATTCAGTATCTGTAAGAACACTATACCTGAAAGTTATTTGGTGACAGACATTAATTGTTAAAAACTGCTAAAGTCTTCTATTGTATACTTATCCTCATACTGTGTATATGTGTCATTGATGTGTCATTAATTTTATTTAAAATAAAATAATAGTAAATTCTAAAATTATTTCGCTTAAAGCAATCTGGTAAATATATACTATGATTATTACTCAGTTTTAATAACAAAGCCTTGCTTTATGTATTCAGAAGAAATTATTATGAAAATAATGCAGAATATTGTAACATTTTTAGCATTTTGTTACATGAGTGCAACTTTATGAACATCATACTTCTAGCACAGGGGTAGGTAACCTTGGCTCTTTTATGACTTGTGGACTTCAACTCCCAGAATTCCTGAGCCAGCTGTGCTAGCTCAGGAATTCTGGGAGTTGAAGTCCACGAGTCATAAAAGGGCCAAGGTTGACTACCCCTGTTCTAGCATATGCATTTAAAAAGTAATTATCTTAAATAATTTTAACTTGCCCTAACTATATCTTTTATCCTCTCCCATCAATATTCATTTACTTATTTTTTATTGCTTTTATTTCCAGTATTGTACCTGCCTGTGACTGATATGATTTAACCCAATCAAACTGAAAATTACAATGCTTTATAAGTATTGTAAATTGTGAGAATTTTTTTAATGGTTTCATTTTATTACTACTGTTGTGCTTATGAACAATTAGCTAATGTAGACATATAGATTATAAAACCTGGAGGATTTATGTCCACACTGTAAAAAAATACTGCTTTAGATTTAACAAACTTTTTTTGATCCATACCCTAAATTTTCTGTGCAATATCTAAGAAGAATTCTCCTCTAATACCATAGTCTAAGCTGCACGATACGTACTTTTTTTTTTTTTCAAAATCAGTTTGTCTGATTTTACCTTTCTTAAGGAAAGGTAAGATTTCCTTAGGATTTAAGGATTTACCTTTCTTAAGGAAACAAAATTTCAAAGTATCTACAGGTATATAATATGGATGCCATTATTTTTTGAGTCTTAATTAAAGAATATGTTAACTCTTATGCAATATAGTCACTTTTCTTTGGAGATTTATCAGCAGAACAGTCAGTATTTATTGAGAAAAAGACATATTGCTATTTCTTACTTTTCAAGCAGCATACTGATAATTGGAAGATTTATTTTGTATTACTGGTATTTTTTTTATAAAGTTTAAATAATTGAGCCAAAGCATTTAGAGTATATACATCATATTACTTTATCTAACTTCTTTCTAAGAATTGAAAGGTAGCACCTTCTTTCCCTTACTGTGCACATCAAAATAGGTTACATAAAACAGAAGAGGATTTTGTATTGAATTGTATGGATTTTAATAGACCTTTTAATAGTTATTTATTCCATTTTTACCTAATTATTAACTATGATTTTGTTTTGTTTCAAAACAAAATTAGAGGTACTTTTGTTGTGATACTATTTAAGATTTTAAGAAAACTTTACATTTCAGTCAGGTTCAGTCAGCATACAATTGCTGCACTCAAATATTATTTTATATTTGGAATAAGTATATGTTGTGGTTCATTACAGAAATCTTTATCAGTTTTGAATATCAGCAATAATAATATTGATGAATTAAGTGACTTATCCATTCTAGAAAATATCTCCCATCTTATAGCTGTTGACAACCAACTTCATCACATAAAGGTAATAAAAGCAATGCAAACTGATAAATTCTATAAATGGAACTAAGTATTATTTCAATAATTTGCCAATTTTTTGTCCATCACCTCTTGAATCATGGTATCTTTTAATTATGCATTTTTTTATTTTCAAATTTATGAGCATTAGACAATTTTCTGATAGATGAAATTAACAAAATTGTTGATGATAAATCCAACATTTTAATACATTTGGATTATAGAGATGTGTAACAGAAAATTGGGAAAAACCCATCACACGTAGACAATAGAACATTGTAAATATAAAATGACTCTGTAAATATTGTAATAATCTATTTCATATATTACCTCATGGATTAAAAGATGCCTGTATAATTAGATTAATTTAAATCATGCACTTAGCTTCTTATTATCACAAATTTCAGAATTTCAATTTGTTGCTAAAATCTCAATAGCAAAGTCTACTGCTACTGTTAAGTCAAATAGTACAATTTGGAGGATGGATGGTGATGTTTAAAGAATTGAATTTTTAAAGAAGTGACTCTTTTGCAATGCTTGGACAAGATTCCATTTCTTTATTTTTTAATTTTTTCTTAATTCCATTCACTATGATGTAACGTATGGTGCTTCTTATTACATCATGATCCCAGAGGATAGTATGAAAAAATGTCATGTCCTAGGTGTTAGGAAGTTGTCTATCTACATCTCATAAGTCCAGATTATCTTAAAATATATTCAGCAATATAAGTCCTATTTCAGAAGGATTCGGTATTTTGAAGATTTGGTTGTAAATATTGAATGCATTCAACCTTTGCCATTATTGATTATGACACTAGATATCAAAAAGATAGATTCCTTCACTTCACAATTCAGTCAGGTACAAGAAAAAATATATAGATTTTCTGAAAGAGATAATGACAGACCGTCAGAATGATGACAAATTGCTATCTGCAGATGTAGTTAAGCTATTTGAGCTAGACATAGCCCATAAAAATTGGAGTGCACTGGTCAAATGTAGGTTTTTAAATGACTATCACTAATTGGGAAGAAGGCTATAGTTTGTGCTATGAATGACATCTGAGGCTTTTACACCCACCCCACCCCCATCAGGAGCCTAGAATACAATTTGTTTTTTAGTATTTTGTAGCAGATCTCTAAGTGATAAGATGACATGATCATTTATCATTTATCAAATAGAGATTGCCCACAAAACTATCTAGTCCCTTTAGTATAGCTTATTGAAAGGATGTAAAGTGAACGCAGTTTATTAGAGACAGGAAGGCAGTTGAACAAGTAGGGAATATCTATTTCAGCATGGAATAAGTGTATTCTTAGATAAACTAAACATGTTCTGAATAATTTATCAACCAAACAAATCTAAAAATTCTAGGCATTCTTCAAAATTAAATGGTTTTCAGAATTCCAAGAAAATATATTATTTTGAATTTTCAAAATCTTTAATTGAATTAATTTTTAAAATACATTTTAAAATCATATATATATAGTGAGGATGATACTATTATGCATTTTAACAAAGGCTCTATCTCATAGGCTTAGCTAAATTTGTACAAATAGAAAAAGAGGGATGATTGTGAGCAAAGGCAGTATTTGCATGTTTATAAATTTTGCTTCATTTTTAGACATTAAAAGCTAAATTGCTCAGACAAAATTTGAAATCTAAATATGCAGGAAAAATATGTAGTTCTGTCTAATGTTGTAAATATTAGTTATAATAAATTTAATTTTTATTACTATTAATTAACATTTTTATTGACAAAAATAGCTATTGTCAAACTCAAAGGAGATTTTATTCTTTTGGGGAAAGTTAATTCTATAATAGATTATGGAATGCCTACTATAATGAACTTGGCAAGTAACACCAAAATACTTTTGAGTTTTCATTTTTGGCTTCTTCATATTGCAAATCACTGAATATCAAGTTTTATTCTTTTGAACATTAACTTTTATTTATAATACTTCCTTGAACTTTGCAAGTTTCATAAATAGATGAATTTAGGAAAAAATACAATATACTATAGAAATTATTTCAGAATAAATTATGTACATTCATATGAGTTTGCCAGCATTTCAGACACTATATGAATTTACCTATCTATGTGCAGCTACATTGGGGATAATATACAAACCAGTGTTGCATAATTCTTTTTAATTATGCATTTAAATTTAAATTATTCAGTCTTTGACACAGAAAGAAAAAAGAATTCAGTTTTCCCTCATCAGCTTTGCCAAATAGTTGATAACTTTTATATCAAATATCTGGACAGACAGAGCATAATATGTGACTTATTAGAAAGATCCAGGTTGAAATATACACCAAACATAAAAAACTATTGGCTTACTTAAGCCAATCACTTCATGCCCAAATTATTTCACAGAGATGTTTGGAGTAGAAATTGAAGGAGGGAGTATTAAGTCTGGTTGCCTGTGCTCTTAGAGGAGAGAGGGGATATCAAATAGATATATGGAGATAGATGGATGGATGGAGAGAGAGAGAGAGAGAGAGAGAGAGAGAGAGAGAGAGAGATTGTGACTGAAGCATATTTTTAAAACTTGTAGGAAGACAAATGTGATAATTATGCACAATCGTTTAGATTCTGAGTGCCAGTGCATGGAGTTAAAATAAAGCAACTGGAGGACTACAGGGAGCAACAGAGATTAAGAGAGTAATCTTCTACCTTTCTGTTTTTTTCAAAATCCAAACAAAAATATACTGATAAAATATTAGAAAATGTACTGTTTTAAGGAAAAGGAAGAAAAATTGCTTCCCAAACATTAGTTTCCTGTATGTAACAATGTTTCCATAGTTTCCATAGTTCCATACATGTTGTGGTTTCTATCATACATGGCATTATTACAATTAGTGAGATAAAAAATATCCCACAGATGCTTTTTCTTGAATTTGTTTAGCTTAATTTAATAACAATTTGTATTTAGAGCCAAAAGATCCGAATAATTATGCTATATTAAAGGCTGTTAACTTCCAGTATTTACAAACATATTTTTGCAAAACTTAGGAGACCAGAGAACAGTGCAGTTAATGTTTTTTTTTTTCCTGGTTTACATTTATATTTAAACTTTCATGAGATAGTGAAAACACAAAAATAGAGTACAATTATGAATAAAGAAGTAAAAAACTATCAAAATATCATTTCTGAATATTGTGGGTAAAATGTATTTTTAATACATGGATATTTGATTGTGTTATTAAATGTAATAACATCAGTTGAAATAAATGGGACATGTTACAACTAATCAAAGAAAGATTTACCAATTTAGTTGCAATATTTGGACTAGATAAGTGATGTTTTTCTTTTGTTACTTCCAGGACTTGGAATTTGTTCTGAGTATATGGACTAAGTTGTACAAAATGGAGCTGAATGGGAATCCTGTTTGTCATAAGCCAAAATACCGAGATAAAGTAATACTGCAGTCAAAATATCTTGGTAAAATATTTAAATTGCAGAGATTGTTCTTTCATTTTATATGTATTGATTTATTAAGCCATAGATGCATAAGCTACAACCTGGGAGTTAAGGTCATTACCCAAGTGTTAAATTCCACTGTTTTCCTGTGAATTTGCTGCCCGCAGTTGAAACCATCTAACTCCACTTGCATTCAGCTCTGCTTCTGGTCAATTCTGAGGCCATCCAAATTACAAAACAAGCAATTTTATCTTATTTCATGCTTATTAGCTGATGTACAAATTATACATCTATCCAATTATCAGACATGTTTTTAAAGTTATCGGAAAGCTGTATATTATGGTACATTCTGCACTTTGATAAAACCACTGTACCTTAAAATGAGGGGAGCCAATCGATTTGAATTTCCATAGAATGAAACACCTCTTTACAGTTGGGATTAGGATCAAAACAGAGTCAGTTTTAGAATAACCTTCCAAAATCAGATTTAGGGATCTTTAAGAAGAAAGAATTAATCAAGCTTGTCTCTCCAGTTCTCCTTCCTCCCTCCTGTTGTGTGCAGCTCTGGACCAAACCAGAATTAAAATAATCATAAAACTAACAAGGCAGTAATAAAATGTTATCACAAACATCAATAACATCTTTTTTGATATATTACACTACTCAACCTTTGTGCCTCAAATTTTCCACTGAATATGAGACAAAATTCCCTCAGAAGGCTCTTCTAAGTCTTGGACAAGTTAACAGAAAAAGGCATTTCTTGAGAGCTTCAACAATTATCTATGAGAGCCAGTATGTTCTGGTCATTAAAGTTGGACAAGCATCATTGAGACAGTTTGAAATATTCCTTAAGATATAGGATCTAATAAAATTCCTAGTAATAGTTCCTTATATTCCTATGCCCAAAATCTTCTATGCTTTCTAGGTTTGATGTACTGTATCTGTATCTGGTCAAGTGTGATGGTCAGCCTGAGAAGCTTGTGGATGACTTTGAGCCATTTGCTTCCTTTCAACCCAATCTGTATCATAGGGGGGTAGTTGTGGCAAGAGTAGGAGGGATGCTATGTCTGCTGCCTGAGCTCCTGAAAAATGGCAGGATATAAATCAAATAATGATATTCCACAGTGCTGAATGTTCCTAATATAATTGCTCCAACATTCTGAGCCTTCTAGAAATCTCTCGATGTGCTAAAAGAACAGACTTCAAGTCTGGTAAAAATGCTGGCAAACGCTGGGTTAGGGTTCATTCTATTTGGTGACATGGTTAGAGGGCCTAGGCCCTTTCTCTGCCCCATCAAAAGGCCCAGGTTCTCTCCATGGCACTCCGCTTAACAACCCACATGGTCGCTTAATGACTGCAGTCACCTCCCATCTTTACTATTGCAATGCACTCTAGATGGGGCTGCCCTTGAAAAGCATTCAGAAGCTCCAATTTGTTCAAAATGCAGCAGGTCGCATGAACAGGTTGCATGGTTTATGCAGACCTAGGAGTGCAGATATGTCACCTCTCTTGGGGAACTGCACTGGTTACTGATTTGCTTCCAGGTGCAATTCAAAGTGCTGGTTGTCATTTTACAGCCCTTCTTGGGTTGGGACTAAGTTATCTGAAGAATCGTCTCTTCTCAGTTACGTCCACATAACCCACTAAAGTGGGGAGGCAGGGAATATTGCAGGTCCCATTGCCTAAGGAGATTCATTTGGCAGGACCAAGAAGAAGGATTTCTCTGTGGTGCTCCCTCTCTTTGGAACATCATTCTCACAGAGATTAGACTGGCCCCCACTTTGACATTCTTTTTCAGGGCCCTGAAGACCTAGTTCTACCAGTGAGCCTGAGGAACCCAGAGTGATGGAGCCCATCAAGTGGCTCTTTTGATTGTTGTTGTCACCGGGGATGGGTGGGAAATTATTGTTTTATTCTTTTTATATTGGGTTGTTATTGTTTGTAAGCTCCCAGAATCACTGAGGGTGAGTGGACAGCCATATAAATCTTCTAAATAAATAAATAAATTAGGGGAGCCAGGACTGCGGTCATTGAGTGAATCGGTCACATGGCATCTTGTTTAATAACTGCTTTGCTGATCAATTGAAATTTTGGGCCCTCTAATCCTAAGTGGAGGATTACCTGGATTAATTCAATATATAATATACTTTTTGTCATGACTTTTCCCTTGGAGTGTGGTTTCTGGCAAACTCATAACATACATACATACATTACATACATACATACATAGAGACAGAGTCAGAAAGACATGTTGCCTATGTGTATGCAAGCATATTACTTACATTTATGGTGCGTGTGTATTGGGGAAAATCTTCAGAACTTAAGTTAGAGTTGATTATTCTAGGTTGAATTACTTATCACTATCAAGATTTTTGTCTGCATTTAATTATGTTTAATATCTTTCTTTGTGGGGAAGTAACTTAAATTCAGGGTCATCTTTCTTTCCATTAATGCTATATTATTGAACAATTGGGTTATATAACTAAAATTATATAAAAGTTATTGTTAGAGTCTTTGTGTATAGATCCCAGTCATTTCATTGACCATGCACAATAATTATAGATATCAGTCCAAGTGAGCAGCAGAAAGATTGTTTTGCTTCTCTGTCTTTTTATTACTCTGGCAATTGTTTGACAGTTTTAAGGTCTATCCTTTTCACTATTATGCTATAACAAGCTATCCATCAGCTGTCCAGCTCATACCTACTAGTACAGTAAAATTAAAGCCCAGTGGTGAACCATTTGGTGGTTTTTCAAGTATAATAAAATTGATGATAAAAAATTAGCAATATCTTTGGCAACAAAACATGCTCTTTTGCCTTCCTAAGAATTTAAAGCTGTTTGTTGATTTACACATTACAAAATTTCCTCAGAATTGCTGGATGGAAAAGAAATAAAAGAAATGGAAAGACAGTTCCTGACAAATTGGAAAGCCTCCAGAGATGCCAGAAAGAAAAACAAAGTAGAAAGCTTCATTAATGAGCATTCATCATATTCACATTTTGGTAAAACAAACTATATCTTCTTAATTACAGCATCAATATTGTCAAAGCATGCACAGTCTTATTGTGCTGAAATAACCCAGGAATAAATACAGTAAACAGTGGTTTGTATTAAATGGTGATTTATCATACACAATATACAATATACACTAGGAACAAAATACATACACTTGGTAATACAGCAAACTCCAACACAGTTACAGCATGAAATGGATGAGAGAGAGAGAGAGAGACACTCCAGCAAAGCCTTCCCTTTTATACTCAAGCTGTCAAAGAGAGATTCCTGCTGTCATTTCTATCATTGCATTATCCACCTTATGTCACATTACATCATTACATAAGCTGTTTAGCTATTAAATTATTACGGTGACACTCCTCCCATTTAAAGCCAAACAGCTGATAACCCAAATGCTTTTACATTTACATTTGCCTGAATTTAAAGCTTAGTCAACATATTAGCTTGAGCAATTGAACAATTTTTGTCTGTGTACGTTCCTGCCTTGTACTGCAGTTCATTAATGTGTCCTTCCATTTATCCTGATCTACTTGAGGCAATGATAACATCTCTTGTAATCATAGGGTTCATACTTTACACTATATGCTCTAACCCCACTTGCTGTGAATCGATCAGGAGGTACACCTTTATTGCTACATTCAGACCGCAGGATCATCTGTTCCTATGTTTCTATGGCTTCTCTTTTTATCTCAGGTCTATCCTCATCTATCCCTGCTATTTCTGACCTATCCTGTTCTTCCTTTATTGGGTTTTGTATAGCCTTCCTTTCCTGAGAACTAACACTGCTTGTTGACATGAACACCTCAGTGTTAGCATGCACCCTGTCCCAATTATTTTGCTCTGCAAAACTAGCAGACTTTGATATCACAACCTTCCTTGTTCCATCTGAAAATCTATATCTCTTGGAACCTGGCTCATATCCCACAAACCTAAGTTTCCTGGCCTTTTTCTGGCCTTCTAGTTCCTTTGGGGATATGCACCCAGGCATAACTGCAAAATATCCTTAGGTGAGCTAATGAAGGTTTCTTTCCATATAACATGTAATATGGGGTTTCATTGATAGCAATGAATACTCTGTTTACTAAATAGTTGGCTGTTTTTATAGCTTCTCCCCAGTACGTATTACTCATTCCTGCATCTATGAGCAGTGAGTCCTTCATAGTCTGCAACATACCATTTCTCCTTTCAGCCATTCCATTTTCTGCTGTATGTAAGGGTTTGTACATCTATACTTTATGCCTAAATTTCTCAGCCATCTTTGGAAATTATCAGACATGAACTCTGTTCCCCTGTCTGTTTGCAGCTGGCATACTTTATGACCATACTTTCTACAAAGTTCACCCATTGCTTAAATTGTTGTAGAACTTCTGTTTTGTTCTTTAATAAGTAGCAGAATCCATAACTGATGTAGTCATCTACTAAGACTAGTACATACCTAGCTCCTCCAAAAGAGGGCACCATAGGACCAATTAAATCAGTGTGCACTAACTGCAAAACTCTGCCTCCTGCTTTTCTTATTTACAGGATACACACTAGACACTGACTCCCTGCAAATAGCACAATCTAAATATATCTTGCATTTTTTAATGCAAGTACCTCAGCTAGATCTGGTATCCTCTGCAGCACTTTAAAACTTACATGTCCTAACCTTCTGTAATAAATGTACACAGTTGTCATGCTTGGGAGCATTTGTTAAAGTTCGTGCAGAACCTTCCTGCTGCTTCCTTAGTATATACAAATTGTCCTGTTTAACACCTTGTGCACAAATCCTCCCACATTTCCTAATGGTGTATTGACCCTTTGCAAACATTACATCATATCCTAATTTATCCAAGCTTGAAATACTGAGTAAATTATAGTCTAACTCTGGCACATATAAGACATCCAAATCTCCTATACCAGTTACATAAACTTTACCTTCCGCTTTAACAATAGACTGTTGTCCATTTACCAAGCTAACAAATGTCTGTTAGCTGGCCTCAGGTTAGAAAACATTTATGGGTCATTTGCAATATGCTGACTCATCCCACTGTCCAACAACTAAGTGTTTTTCTCAGTTAATGTTGCTGCCAAGGAAAATGTTGGTTGTGTAGTTCTACGATCTTGTCTCACTGCTCCTCTGTTTCTCCCGTCAGGGCAGTGTCTCTGGAGATGTTCTGTAGAACCATACTTGGAGCAGTGTTTCACCATACAAACTTTCTCAGCTACTCTGCCAGCCCCCTGGGACATAGCAGTTTTAAGCTTGGGCTGTGCGTTGTCGTCACTCCCTCTGCTGCTTTTCCAGACATTTCTGTTCCTCTTCCACCAACCAGCCAGTCAAATAACTCATGGTTGAGTCCTTCTCCTGCATTGACACTAAACAGGTCACTAGGACATCCCGTGAATTGTCCAATGAACTGAGCACCACATACACCTTATGTGACTCAGTGAACGTCATCCCTCTTTCCTCTAATTCTAGGAATGTCTCATGGACTGCAAATGCGTAGACATGCTTTCTCCCCATTTCAGTTGTGCTTTATATAACTGTCAGCATTACTTTGCTGCTCACAGTCTCTCTCACATACACACTGCGCAAAGCTTTCCAGCACTCTTTAGCAGACTGGAGACCCTTCACATGTATCAGCTGGCTATCCTCAAAACTCAGAATTATGCTGGCCAAAGCTTTCTCATTCTTTCTTTGGTCCCCATCATCCAGAGCTGCAGGTGGATCAGCAACTATCATCCACAACTCCTCCCTTCTCAGATACATCTCTATTTTCAGACTCCAGAAGAGGTTGTTTATCTCATTCAGATGAGATACTACGATACCTCCTCCCATTACGCTGATGGAAGCCATGTTGCCTGCTTCTTTAAACCACTACAAACCAGAAGCCTCAACTCCTCTGGCTCTGGGTCAAACTCTCACTGGGTTTCTCTTCACTCTGGGCCCATAACCTGTCAGAGCATGCACAGTCTTATTGTGCTGAGATAACCCAGAAGTAAATACAGTAAGCAGTGGTTTGTATAAAATGGTAGTTTATCATACACTATCTGCAATATACACTAGGAACAAAATACATACACATGGTAATACAGCAAACTCCAACACAGCAGTTACAACAGGAAATGGATGAGAGAGAGAGAGAGAGAGAGAGAGAGAGAGAGAGAGAGAGAGAGAGACTAGCAAAGCCTTCCCTTTTATACTCGGGTTCTTAAAGGGATGCAGACACCTGCTGAGTCATTCCTATTATTGCATCATCCAGCTTATGTTACATTACATCATTACATAAGCTGTTTAACTATTAAATTATTACCTTGACAAATATTAAGAGAACCATCTCCGATAAATTTGTCATAACAAGACAATTACGTTTTGAACATGTTCAGAGTGTTTTAATGAAGAATAAAAACATTATTTCCCAATACTATAACAATAGTATAAAGATGAATGAATAGCAAAGAGCCTTCATTAAAACATTTTGAAATAAATACAGTATTATAAAAGTGTATGGAGTGTGGTTGTATGCTTTCATTGGTGGTGAGTCATAAATTCAGTTATTGCATGAACACTTTTTAATGGTTTTTTCTGATTTACAAGTTCATCTCAGTTTTGATAATTTAATTGATAAAATCAGTAACAAAGATCTTCTTTTTCCAGTAATTTTTCTATTTCTTCCATTTTTATTGATTATACTGCTCAATAATATTCTCGGGAACCTTGTGATATAAAATACGCAGATCAGTAACTTTTATAATAGAACATTTATAAGCTGTATAAGAAGTATGTATTAATTATTTTGTGTAATACTTTGGGAAAAATTGAACAATATATGATTTTGTATCTTTACATTCTCTAGATGACAATGATGCAGAACATGCACATTTTCCTATTTACCACTTCCCAGTCTCCAGAGAGATACATAGAACTCCTTATAATAAAGAATTTCAGCCAGTATATGAAGAAAACAGAAATAGTGAAAAAATCAGGTATGATTTATGTAAAATATCACTGGAATCCAACCTCAAGTCAATGTCATTGTGTTAAATAACTACTATAGTGGAATTAGACACATATCTGAAATTGAAAATTGTTGTTTAAAACAAAACACAAATATTAAAAACAACGCACACTTCATATATGTGTATATGTTAATGTACTTGTGTGGAAAGCATTCAAAAGAGTTGCTTTGCAAAGGGTCAGCATCTGCAGGCAGAACCACCCATTTAAATGTGGGTGTATATATACTGTAGGGAGCATTTCTGCTGGAATCACCTATGGAGCGATGGGCAATTATAGTGAATCAGGTTTTAAAACACTTGCTAGCCTTTCAAAGAATGCAGCTGCTGTAATGTTTTACTCAAAGTTTTGCAAAATGGTTTGTGTGTGTGTGTGTGTGTGAGAGAGAGAGAGAGAGAGAGAGAGAGAGAGCGAAAGAGAGAGAGAGAGAGAGAAATAGAACAAGTTTAGAAATAAGAATTGCTCTTAAAAATATCAAAACAGAAGCTCTGTATATTACTACAATGTAGAAGAAGCTATATATTTCACCTTCCTATATATTGCAGTGGTGTTCAAAACCTTTTTTTTTTCATTTAATACTCAGGTTACAACCATTTGTTCAGTATCCATTAAAAAATTACCATGGTACTGAACAATTGGTACTTACAATGAGTCCTTGTAGTTCCAGCCGTCACAGCATTCCTGTAGTCATGTGATCGTGATTCGGGCTTCATCTCATGATTATGACATTACTGTGAGCTATGATCATGTGATTGCAATTTCCAATATTCCTAGCTAGTTTCACATGAGCAAAGTCAATGGGACACCAGCAAGAAGTTGGAAGTCATAATAATGTGACTTCACTTAAAGACACATGTAATCCTTGACAGCAATAAGGAATACCGGAATTGCTGATACTGAGCAATGTAGTCATGTGACATTGCCCTCAATTACCATCATAAGCTGAGGACTACACTATGATATATTTTTGAAACTTTTTAGTCAATAATTATATAATAAAATTCTAATTTATAAATACATTTTGTATTATTTAAGGCATAACTAGATGAAATTTATTTCTTTTCTTTTTTTTAACTGGGAAATCAGTTCTGACAGTTTGATCCAAAGTATGCAAAAGAGAATATCTACTTGGCTCTCACTCAAAGAGCGAACTCCTTTAACTCTTTGAAGGTCTGGGGATAAAAATATGAAAATGATAGGATGGTAACCTTAATTTTCCCCCCACAATTTAATATGCCATGTTGAATATTTTCCAATGCACACAGAAATTAACAAACATTTTGTCATGTTAGTGGAAATCTATAAAAGTTATTATTGTAACTAAAATATTTTATCCTTAAAGTACTCTTTTATAACACTTTGCCATACAGCCATTCAGCCTTGAAAACTTCTCAAAATGAACAGAAAGAGCTATTTGAACCTCATCTCCTTAGACAAATGCCTTTCTAAGCAGCTACTAGAAAGATGTACTTCTATATTATCATCAGAACAAAAGATGTGCTTCAGAACCAAATGTGAAGAAAAATTGTTTTTTTTACTGCAAACAAAGTGATATTTCACAGTATAAAATGTTTTGTATTACAGATCCAATGTAAGTTTAAGTAAAAAAGGGTTAAAATAATTTAACCTTATGCAAATATGTTTTTATATTAAAAGTAGTAGCCATCTTAATTAAACCACTGGTTAAACTATCATTTTATCTAAGGTTTTGGTGGACAATCATGACCTTTCAGAGCAAAAACTGTATTCATGAAATTGTAACTACATTTACTAGGGCCCAGCAGATTAATAAGAGTTTATAGCCAATGATTTGCTATGGTACTACTGCACTGGAAATGGGAGGCTTCCATGGAATTCAGGACATATATGTTGAGAGTTCTCTGGGTTGATTAGACAAAATACAACATACAATGGTCATATTGCAAAATATATCAACTTCTTTATTCTTAGAATAACAAGGATAGAAAGAGATCATTTTCATTCAAACTTTGACTTTTCCACTTGTAATTCACAAGTGGATTTCAGCTAATGCATACAAACATACCTACTCTGCCTTTGCCTCACTTTGATATCTGCCTTCAAAGAAGGATGGAATGTAGTCAGTTTCTTCATGGTCTAATTGTTCTACCATAGCTTGATTAACTATCTCCCTTCTGGCATTAGCAACTGCTGTTTTAAAATCAATGGATGCTTATTTTATACTAAAATTTAATTGCTATTAACTTCTAGAAAGGCTTAATCAAATCTCCAATTAAAATATAGCTGGCCACCTCTCCCAGTTAGAAAACCAATATGTTCTTTTGTGTGTCTTTAGATCTCAATTCTGTGCAAGTTGAAACATTTCATATGGTATTGTCTTTCTTACATAGTAAACTGAATGCCAATTCCTTTTTGAGTCACCTTGGAATCTCTTCAGCATCCCAATTTCAGGTTTTGCATACTAGCCATCTATTTTTCTTCTCCTTGATCAATTTCTCTCAACACCACTAATTCTACATATTAATAATGAATTCATTTTTAAGTACCCTATTCAGGGCTTTTTTTGTCATAGAACGCCCAGAATGGAGTTCCGGCACCTTTTTTGGATGAAACCTTGTAGGGTAGGCAAGGCGGGTTGTTTGATGTGTGAGTTTTGGCACTTTTTTTTTTTTTTTACAAAAAAAAGCACTGACCATATTTATGTAGTCGAAATTATAACGTGGACAAAAATATGGTTTGGGGATATATAATTGTAATTTTAAGATTTACAGAAATACACATAGTAGTTCAAAGAGTTAATTTAGTGAGAACAACTAAACCATGAGAACTGAATAGAATTCTGACTAACTCTTGGTTAATGAGGATCAGAAAAAAATGGAAAAGTATGTGGAAACGTGAATTGTTATGCTGGTTAGCTTGTTGCTAAACTAAAAAAAAATCTGCATTACATGTTATTTTGCATATTAGTCCATCAAATAATGGAATTAGATCATTAGTTAATAATAATGTTAGTATTATAGCAACTTGAAAATTTGTTCTGTTTTCAGTTACTTCAAGAACAAAACCTGAATATCCTATGTTTGTGGAATCTGCTCTTTTATCAGCTCTAAATCTATATACTTGATTTTATCAGTGTCTTTACGCAGTGTATAAGTATAAACTTAATTTTATTACTTTATTACTTTAATACAAATGAATTGATATAAGTTCTTGTATTAATTAAATCCAAATTAGATTAGTCTTACTTTCCTATAGATTGTAATTACGAAAAAGAAAAAGGAAAACATTTCCTAATTGCATTTTCATTGAATGAGAAAAAAAATAAGATCTGTATTTTAATGTGAAATTCCCAGCCCTCCATAACTTTATTTTAGTAAAATGCAAACAAAAGAAGAGGCAAGTTGTCTAATAGAACCAATTTTATGTAGTGGTTAAGGCATCAGGTTAGAAATCAGGTGTCTGTGAGTTCTACTCCTGCTTTAGTCATGAAGCCATGTAGGAGACTTGGGCCAGTCTCTCCTTCTCAGCCCTGGAAGGGAGACAATGGCATACTACTTCTGAAATCTTCCAAGAAAACTGCAGGGGCTAGTCCAGTGAATCATTGGGAATCAACACTGACTCAAAGGCACATACACAAAAAGGTTATTTAATATGACTCACAGTTTAAATTATTCTGAATTCATATTGATTTGTATCACAATCCTCAATGTGCTTTGGAAACATTTCAGTTATTTAAAAGGGACATAAAACCAAATAAATGTGTTTAAAAGAGTGTACCAGTTGGCTTGAATTCTTATAATTCATTTCAAATTATAAGTCCCAACACTATTCGTTTTGAAGGAATTACATTTGCGGTACTTAAAATGTTATTGTTTGCTATTGAAACCAACATGTACTTTAGGAGGCATTAACATAAGAGCACTGGGTCTTTAGAATCATTCTATTTTCACAGTATTCTGCACTTTGCAATATGCCTTTTTTTTCTCCAGGTTCCTCCTTAGAAATTACTGCAAGTTTAAACTTTCCAGTTTCTTGGCTAGTATAAAGGGCAGCTAATAATTCAGTCCTTATTTTTCTGTCTTGCTAAGACAAAGATTTGATTTATTGTGTTTATGTTATCTCACAATCAAAAATTCATTCCCAGTGTTTCGTTGGTATAACTCTACACCCTGCCTATTTATTTTGAATGTCTCTTCTGATTAATGTCTTTGAGCCAACCAAATGTATTTTTTCTTACTGTTAGATATCCTCATAAATACATTTGGTTGTGGAACATTTACATTTGTGTGTTAATGATAGAATCCTAAAACTTTGTCCTATGAATCCTAAAATTTGCACAATATTCACTATTCATTCAGATATGAATATGGAATCACTAAAACTGGCTGGCATGTGATTAAATTTACAAACATTCAGTATGAGATTGATGATAGTACTATATTAAATATAGCTAACTCATTATCAGCTATTTTGATATCATTTTTATTTAATTATGGATAAAGAAGTGAAAATTTGCAAGAACCAGCAAAAAACTATGGCTTTTCAGTTTGACAATACAAAAGTCAATATTAGCAAATTCTGAAAATAATCATAGGGAAAAAACACTATTTAGCCTTTTGAGTCCAATCTTTAAATTACTTCCTTCCAGCAAAAGGTTACTACATGTTAACCTAAACAATTTTCCTGAAGAGTAATTTTAGTATTGGTATCTAGAGAATACTGCATAAGCATTGTGCAAATGCCTTCCAGGTTTCTAATGGGAAGATGATTAATTCACAGTTCTTTCAACTATTTCCTAGCGGAAAGTGAAATCAAGTGCCAGTTAATGGCTTATCGAGAGAGTCTATTCACATCTTGTTTTGCATGATTAGGACGCCTGGCTTATTGCCGATATTTGAATTTATAGCAAGTGTGTCAGAACACTGCATATACCTCATAGGTGGGATATTAGCTTCCAAAATATATTTTCCCCTAGATAGAATAGTATGAGCATATGTGGAGTAAATGTATAATTCTGCTTGAGGGACACTGGCCAAAATGGACCAAAACTGACATACTAGGGTTTAGGACTGAGTAGCAATTTGAGTTCAAAACAGCATATATGAGGATGCAAATCTTGTTTATTAGCAACTCCTTAAAGAAGCTGTATGTACTAATATTCAGACCAGAGCTCAGCAGTAGCTCGGTTGTCTAACCAAAAATAAGCTTTCTCAAGAGAAGTCTCAAATAGTCTAATCCAGGTGTGTCAAACTGCCAGCCCGTGGGCCAGACGCGTCATCCGGAAGCCGCGCCAACCCCTTAACCGTCTGGATACATTGCCTGTATGTAGCTTTGTGTTCAGAGATTAAACTCTATTTTTTTCCTGAAGTGATTTATTTTCATCTGGTTTTCCTTTACATCTCAAAAACCTGGCATTTTAACAAGGGTGTATATAGACTTTCTATATCCACTATATATTTGTATGTCCATGAAGTCACAGAAATTTAGCTTAATTCAGTTATTTTAGGTATGCATGGCAATTTGCTATTAAGTATATTTTGAAGTCTTCGCTGAAATCAATGAGATGTAAAAATACTTAATTGGTTGAATTGTGTCAAAGCGTCAATGATTTGAAAGACTGCAATAGTTGCTTGGTTATTTTAATAACTGTTCTGACATTCCAATAAATATTTAGATAATATATTTCACCTCAATAATCTCAAATTACATTAATTTCTGTGCTTATTAGTTTTGCTTATCACTGATTTACATGCAAGCAACTATACTTCATGCAACTGGGATTTTGCTGATCCCATTTCAGTGGCTTTTCTTTCATATGAATAGGCAACTGTGGACAATAAATGCATTTTTATAAACTTTAGCATAATTCAGCAAAACACAAAGGTTAAATATGCAGATGATCTCTAGAAGATACAAATAGAAATATATTTATTTCATTTGTAGCAATGAATATACTGGTAATAAATACCTTTTCCTATTTTGATACCATGCTAAAGAAACACTTTAGAAAATAGGAACTAAATGGAATAAAATTATGCTTATAAGAATAAAGTGAATTAACTTTAAATTTCAATTATTTGCTGTGAATATCAAATTTGTATTCTATGATACTAGCACATATATTATATGCTGTTTATCTGACCAGCAATAAAGAAGGTGGGTGTTGAATGACAACCTTTTGAAAATTATTCCCAAATAGTTCTTGTGACCATGGTGAAAATATATTGCATTTATATGCTAAAATAAGAAGAATTGCTTAGTTTTTAAATTTAGAAAATTGGAGATGCATTTTTCTTTAGTGTATTGTCTTACCCTTGTTAAATTGCTATATACATTTATAAACATGATTTAAAATAGTAAAATGTGACCAGCTAGGAGGGACCATTTAGGTGACCTGGGCTGTTCTTGAAAAACTATGCAGTTTTTCCTGGACTGTACTTGGATATGTTTTCTCTGGAAAAGGTTCTAATGCATGAAAAACTGGAAGGAAAGAGAAGAGGTTGACTAACAGCAAGATGGATGGACTTAGTTACAGTGGCGATGTAAGTTAAGTTAAGAATAGACTGTCAAACAAATTATCTATGTGGTCACTAGGAGTCAAAAACAATTTGATGACACATAATCAAACTTGAACAAAAAGCACTATGAATTCCAAATGCTGAGGCTTGACTGAGAATTAGGAAGAAAACAAGATTTAAATCACTTATATCTTCTATCTATGTAGAAAACTACATTAAGTAATCTTCGAAGACACTGAGAAGGCACGGGGATATAATTTTAATGTGTATAAAAATGACGTGATCTTTTTTAGATTTTGTTTTGTTTTTGTATTTGGAGAAGAAGCAAATAAATGATTTGGTATGCTTCTGTAAAACAGCAAATTTATTATACCACCTTGAGGACTTTGTGTTGAACTCATTACACTCTTATTTTGCCTTGTGAAACTCAACTAAAACATCAGCTCTGCTTCTGATTTCATAATATATTCATTCATTTACAAAATAAGGTAGAAGGCTATTTCAGAAACACATAGAGTAATTCCACAGCATAATTTAAAAATTTCCATTTCATGCATCAAAGGGCCAATATGCACACACATAGTGGTCAAAATATAAGTTACCACTTGTATGTAGTTCCCCCGTTGCTTCATACTATAATAGCCAAAAGCTTTACAAATCTCTCTAAATACCATTGTACTACAAGTAATCCTCAACTTAAAAAAGTTTAGTGACCGTTCGAAGTTACAACAGCACTGAAAAAAATGACACGATTAGTTTTCATATGACCATTGCAACATCCCTGTGGTCACATGATCAAAATTCAGATACTTGGCAACTGACATTTTTGACAGTTGCATGTCCCGGGATCATGTGATCACCTTTGAGACCTTCTGACGCAAAGTCAATGGGGAATCCAGATTCATTTAATAACTGTGATTGACTGCAGTGATTCACCTAACAACTGTGGCAAAAAAGATCTTAAAATGAGACAAAATTCACTTAACTGTCTCACTTAGCAACAGAAATTTTGGGCTCAATTGTCATAAATTGAGGACTACCTGTATAGTATTTTCATTTTCTAAAGATTAAAGGGGGTTTTTCTATCCACGTTCATGGACCCCTGAAATCTATCCATGAACTCCAAAAGTTTTGTGGGCCTCAGATTAAGAACATTGATCTATAATGTTTTCCATTACCTGCTTTTTCTCCAGGATTTAAAAAAAAAAAATACTCTTAACTCATAGGTTTTGATTACCAGTTTGGTCTAGTAGTTAAGGACCAGGTTAGAAAAGAAGGGATAGTGAGTTCAAATCCCACCATAGCCAAGAAAGCTAACTGGGTGGCTTTGGGCCAGTCACTCTGTCAGCCCAACCTACCTTGTGAGGAAAATAGGAGGAAGAAGGTGGGTTGGATACGATTGCTACCTTATTTGTAAAAATAATGCAGGATAGAAATAAATAAAGCCCATACAAATTAATTTATTAATTCAAATTATAATCTGAAGTATAATGCTATATGCCTACATGTGTACCTTATTCTTTTTTAAGGAGAAAACTTATTTTTTCAATGAAATAGACACTCTATACCAGGGGTAGTTGAAGTCCATGAGTCATAAAAGAGCTGAGGTTGCCTACCCCTACTCTATACCAATTCTGTGAAGTTGCATTATGCTACAGTATGGAATTTCAGTATAAGCTTTATCTGAGAAGAAAAAATATTGTATGCTAGGTATAGGTAGCATAAAGTATTATCTTGACAACAATATCAACATGATTTGCTTTTGGGTTCTTCCCCCCTCCCCCTTTTTTTTGGTAGTTTTGTAGTTTCTTATGTCAAGGATTTCCTGAAGATCTCTTTTCCAATAAGGTGCTTTTTCAAGATTCACCATGTTTGCTAAATGCTGCTACCTGTTGCGCCAAAGAAGCTAGCTGTCTTCTTACAGTCTTTGTTGTAAGACTAAAGTTGGTTAGCAGGCTACTTTAACAGTAGATTATATATTGGATACAGATTCTATTGACTCATAATTATGCACCTTGCTCCCTCCCCAATTGTGTTGACATCCCTTTTACCATAATGCAAAATGTTTGTTGCTGCCAGAAAGGCGCTCCAATGCAATGCTCGTAGAAGAGACTGTTTTGTCAATCATTCAGTGTTACAACAAATCTAGAATCCTTCTCTCAGGTATGGTGTGCTTTCTATCTACTGTGTGATGTGCTGGTGGTTTATACGGGAGTGGGGGGGAGCTACACATTTATCTGTCTGTTGATTGTGAAATGGCACTTCTTCATCCACCACTGAACCCTGGCAACATGCCTGAAAATGTTGCTGCTGCCAAAGCCCTGCCTGAGGGGACCCATAACATTTGTTTTCATTAAACCAAGGCCTTTCTGAAGAGAGAAGTGAAGTGGAACACACATGCCAAGTTTTCAAAACTTTATGGGAAGTTAATTTCATCTAGTACTTGATAAATCTAAATTCTTTCTTTCTCCTGTACCTTATTCTACAATGAGATCTGCTTTGCTTTGTCTTTCATGTGCTTAAAGCTGCTGTTACATTGCAACAATAATCACTGCTACATCACCCAACCAGGCAATTTAGCAGGATCATAGATTCTGTGGTTGTTTCAACTCATTATAATTGCAGTTATAATTAGAAACTAATTCTGTTCAATAAAAGTAGTTAATCAGTGGATAAATAGGAGTATTAATCTATGGATTATAGAAAAATCAATATGCTTTCCATCTTAAACAAGATAGTGTGAAAAATATGTAAGTTTGATTATTAAAAATCCAATGAATTACAGTTGTACAATTATCAAGCATCTGGTAAACATATTTTTGTGTCTTCAAAGGCAAGTAGCTATTTAATTCTAATTCCAATTAATTATTTTCTGCATATATATTCATCTTCAGAAGGAGAGAGAAGCAAAATCCACAAACCTTTCTATTGATATTCAGAGGAAAAGATTAGCCAGCTAACAACTTTTCACAAATGTTGTGTTGCACCATTAATAAAGAGGTGTACTTAATTTAGCTTTTCCTAAACTGGTATCCTCCAGCTGTATTGGCTGTGAGCATTCATAATCTTCAAACAGAATAGATGCTGGTCAGATTGTGATAGTTGAAGTCCAACATATATATTAGATGGACAACTGTCCATTTACAAAGCAGAGGTCTCTGGCTTCAAATATGACAGGATCTATGATGACTTTGAAGCCTCATTGCATTGGTGGGAAGGTGCATAGGCCATCAAGGCACCCTTTTACATTAGTATGTAAAAATTTAATTTAAAAATAGGGACTAATATTAAAACAATCCAATGTTCCTCAATACAAAGAAGAAGGTTATATGGAGTGACTTTATTTTTCTGCTTATTCTACTGCCCAGATGTTCGGTTTCAAAGCTCTTGCTCTCTTTTAGGTCTATACTTTAAAACACACCTGGATTCAATTGCAAGAGAAAACCCATTATGGAATGGTTATCTTTCCATTAATTTCATATTCTACATGCATCGTTTATAAAAACATATTATTTCAATTTATGTATTGCTTATACGCAATGGTGTATGATACACCTAAACCTCATCTTACAACAGGTTGTGAATTACATTGGCCAAGAGACCTTGAGTAGTCCAAAGATGTGGAGGGAGCCCGAGTGGGTCCTTGCCCCATTCTAACCTGTGTTCGCAGGAAGGAGTTCTTAAGATTTCACACTTTTTGCAAGATGCTACGAGGCTCTTATTTTTGCCGACCTGGGCGATGGACTATCCGTGAAGGCCAGACTATAAGCTTGTCTGAGAAGCCGAAAGACTCCATTGGAAAAGCAATGAGAAACTACTGGGGTTTCGTGACGCCAGGAAAATTGCGTGGATCTGCAACCTGGTAAGTCATCATTCGAAGGCGATCCGACTTGCCTGTCGCGAAGTGGCGGCTGGGTCTCGGAGGACAGAACGCGAACGAAGATGTGGACGCACCGGTTGGCGGCTTTGCGAGGGACAGCAGTCTCGATTCCCCGCAGGCGAGAGAGCTGACCAGGAAGAGCAGAGGGCGACGCGAAAGGGGGGAGGCGTCATCAAAAGCCGAGCACTGGTGGGCGCGCTCCCCAATCCTTATAAAAGCCCGGGGCTTCCCCACTCCCGTTCTGGACTAGATCGGCCACGGGAGAGCAGCGGCGGCGCCCTGTCTCCCTTATTGGGGTCCTAGGAGATCAAGTAAGTTCTTTTTGAAGCAACTTTTTAATACTCTCGCCGTGCTCCCTCACGCTCTTTGGGTAGATACACGAATTTGGTCGCCCCCTAATTCTATAAAACACCTCCTTTGCGTCGCAGTTGTGCAATCTTGCAATATACTTACTATTGGCCCTGTCTTTGAGGAATTAAAGATCCTCCAAATAGTTTGAACTGCAAGTCTTGTGTGGATCCCTCTCATTTTCCTGAACTTTCTTTCCGACTAACCACCGTTTATTTGCTCGTATCCTGCTATTCCTCTTTGAATTATTTCTAATTCAATATCTTTGTAAGAAAATATTATGCAAGCAAGGCAGTCTTAGAGAACTCCCCGGCACAAAAGACAATAAAAATAATTATAAAGGATTTACTTAGTCTTTATAATGTAACTTAGTCTTTATAATTTACTTAGTACTTGTAATGGAGCAGTAATACGGTATGGGTTTTGATTTGCTCTGTTCATTTACTTTAGAAGTACAGTAGGTTTAAATACGTCCAATGACCGTTCTTCTGTAGTAAGTGTGCATGTCAATATAATCTTAATCTTTAAAAATACATCGAGAAATTCTAAGTGAAATAGGACTATGAATTTAAGCGTGAACTTAAACTATCAAATCAGTGTGACTTGATTCCTACTGGTCTCACGTTTTGAATCGAAATGCCGATGTTATACAGGCGTATTTAGGCTGATTGTTGATGTTTTAAACATGTATGTGGAAATAGGCCCCAGAAATATTTTCCAGCTATGTGCAATTCAGATAAATGTGTAGAATAGTGTTCTACAGTAAATGCTTTCTTTTCTAGATAAGCTGGTTTTATTTATTTAGTATTCATTCATGTACTGTATAAATGAATCCTAAATATCCAATAAATTCATTTACTTGCCTAAATGCAGCTTTAATTGAAACACTCAAGTCAATTGTATTACTTATATACAAACCTTTGAGGGAAAAAAGCTTAATTATAAAATAATTTTAATTTATAGTTTTAATAAGCTAAGTGTTAAATACTAAAACTTAAAATCTCAACTAATGAGTAATTATGCTAATAAATATTTTAAAACAAAAAAGAATTGGATACATTTGAAAACTTAGCAAGCCTTTACAAAAGGCATAATTGTAGAGCAATCGTGTATTTGAATTCAGGAAAAAATTCTACAATGTTTATTATAATTTATTATTCAATAATTCATTTTAAATTTAGAAACTTGAAACTGAAATTGAGGCAATAAAATCAGAGTTCTCAAGCTGACCAGGAAAAATTTCTTAGGGAGCACTGTTATTTCCAATCCTATCTTGTTTTTATCCCTTTGTGTCTCCTCTCCTCCATTGTTTGATTTCAGAAAAATATCTTCAGTTGAATGGAAAAGTCTGTAACTAAGAAAAAGCTTTTTATTAAAGTTAAATAATAAAGTTGGGCAGCATACGAATTTAATATACTTTTATTAGTTGCTTGCTAGTTTTGCTAACAAAACTATTATTGTTAACTAGATTATAATTTATAAGGCACAGTCCAGATGAATACAGTCCTCAATAAATATAAGATTTACTGAATGCAAATACAAGTTAGATTCAATATACTTTGTGGTTTGCAGACTACAAAAGTATGCATTTTTAGAAAATTCCAAATGATATTCCATATCTATTTAATCTTTATCTTTTAAAGCCAACATGTATCTGTACTAAAGAGGAAAGCAGTTCAATAAGAGTTCACAGTTCAGGCTTATATTCTTGAATATTTATTTGTTTATTTTTAGTATAATAGAAACATCTAATCTTAAATAATGATCCAAATAAATGGATGGGATTGGATCTCTTTACTTGTAGAACCATCAGAAAATCCCAGTTTGTAGTATGGGGGAGTACTGGGAAATAAAAATAAATGCATAAAAATATCTAAAAATCCAGGAAGAAAATCATTTCCACATTACTGTAAAGAAATGTACTTTACATATCCATAAAGCGATTGGGAACTGTGCACAGCATGATTTCTTACATTTATTTGAACATTAATATTTCAACACTAATCATTTCTGCTAGATACTAAGTCACATTCATTCACTTCTTCTGAAAGATAATAGATGTTGATGCCAAATTTATTTCAAGTTAAGATGCTTAAAAATATGTCCTAATATAATATTTAAATGTGGTCATTATTTTCTGAAAATGCATTAAAATTGTGAATCAGTTGTTAGAACTATGTGTTGATGATTTTTCAGCTGAATTCTCCTATCTTAAAAATAAAACTGCAAGGTTGCTGGCACAGAGGTACCACATTAAAAGAATACATTTCAGTATACTGAAAATTGCGATACAAAGTTCTTAAAATCAGATAGCAATATAGTTCGAAAAAAGAAAATGTGACAATCCAAGGTATAAACTAGGAATTTGCATCATGTCGGTTGCAGATTTGGTCTTACCAATGGACTATAAAAATGCACCCGAGAACATAAAGGAGGTCAATATTCCAAGCTCAAATGCCTCTCTGCCACCCTCCACATCTGGCACTAACTCCTTAGGACAACAGACTGGGGCAACCTTGGGGAGACCTGCAGCAGCCAATGCGGCCCGAGAGCGTAGCCGAGTGCAGACCCTGCGACATGCCTTCTTAGAGTTACAGAGAACTCTGCCTTCTGTACCACCCGACACAAAGCTCTCCAAGTTGGATGTACTGCTTCTAGCCACCACCTACATTGCCCATCTCACCCGCAGCTTGCAAGATGAAGAAGAATTGCCTGGCAAGGGCTTGGGAACTCTGAGAGGGGATGGCTACCTACACCCTGTTAAGGTAAGCAGGGCAAAAACAAATAAAAAAAAATTCCTAGAAGGTCCAATCAGCATTGTTTGAAAACCTTTCCATTGTGTAGAAATCTTCAGGCAAAAGGGCATACTAATATACAAGTACACTAGTCTACACAAGAAAGCTTTAGCATTACAGAATCAGCAGAATCAATTAGAACCAACAGAACCACAATTCATTGATGTGATTCCATATGACACTTCAGATATATACAGCATTAAACCTCCGTGTACCATAACCATTATGCCCAACACTAGGACAAGGTTTTAAGTGACTCCTATTTATTACAAAACAATGTATGCCTTATGACTGGCTTGTAAACTGTTTGAGACAATTATCCTTTTTCCTGGTCTCAAATAATGTCATTATTCCCACAAAAAAAAAAAAAATAGATTCTGTTGTTTTACACAAGCACTTCGACAGTGGCAATCCCAAACTGGATACTCAATTCAAAAACATGTTATTACAAATTGCCCCATTTTCCCCAGGATATGCCCAAATATATCCCATTAGTAATTACCCCAGTGTAAAATCCATTGCCCTATGAACCATATTTAGTTCATATTGCAAGTTCAAATTACAAAAGGTCTTCCCCTTGCTACTAGCTCTTTAATAAGTAATTTCTTTAATAAATTATACTGATCTTAATTCAGGAAACTACTACTTAAAAACCTAGTAATCAAGAATTACCTTAAACCAAACTAAATGGATCTTGATGCAAGTAGTCCTTTCATTATTTGTTTCCAAAACTAACCTTATCTTAAAATAATCTTGAATGAGCATGTATACACTTTTTATAAAAATAGTTTTATTGAAATGTACACCAATGATAGGCTTGATATATAATTAGTTACCCATTTGTCTGCCAGTAAAAATAATTATAATTTGAATTGCTTTTAAAAAGTCACATTTTGGCTATAGCTTAGGAGTACATACAGCAAAAATGATAATGTAGAGCAGAAAGTAAAGCATATTGTTAAAATAATTAGCATTGACATCTCAGGAGCATTTTCAAATAAATGTCGAGAAACCAGGTGTTGGCCATGACTAACAGATTTGCCATAAACACAGTCCATTTGATTCTGCATTACAGTATATTAGCTACTGCAAGTGTCTGAATTATATGTTTTATTCAATAGGCTGCTTATTATGTCAGAGGTAAAACTTTGAAAAATATTATAATTTATTTTAGAGACTCATCACTGAAATTAATAGAAAAAGCAATTTTTCACAATGTATTCTTCACAATGCCACTTTATTTGCAATATGAAGTTCTGTTTAGATATCTTCTACTAGATTATCCCATTTGGCAAGGCAGCAGGCAAGATAAACAACAAGAAAAATGGCAAAACTGGGATGGCATTGTAATTTTTTTCTATATTTCTTTGCCATCATTTAGTGGCTTTCTAATTTTCTGAAATTCTAATTAGCCCCATCATTTATCTTTCTTTCCTGATAAAGCATTCTAGAAACTTCAAAAACCATACCCTTTGGGTAATACTGATTAGTCCTAATCTATTCTATTCAACTCTGTGATTATCAGTGTTTCTACCAAAAAAGGTACAAGGTTAAAATCCTATGCAGATTTTGGGAGGAAGACTTTTTCAATTCAATGAGACTTACTTCTAAATAACCAGTGCTTTTTTTGTAAAAAAAAAAATAAAATAATAAATGCCGGAGCTCCAGAAGAAAGCCCTTTACGGAGCGGTGGGGGGGGGGAGAAGCCACCTTAGGGAGCAATTTTGTGGCCCCCCAGTGGCGCAATCCGGGCTCTGGAAGCCTGGAAAATTCCTCTGGAGCCCAGATCTATGGTCGTGGAATGATTTTGCAGCCCCCCAGATGCCCAATCCGGTTTCCGGAGGCCTTTTCCAAGCCTCCAGAGCCAGGATCCATGGCCATGGAGCGATTTTGCAGCCCCCCCAGCAACCTGATCTGGGCTCTGGAGGCCGGGGCGCAAAATTGCTTTGCAGCCATAGATCCGGGTCTTTATAATTTCTTTTCCAAGCCTCCGGAGCCCGGATTGGGCTGCTGGGGGGTCGCAAAAATCGCTCTGCAGGCATACCTGGATTCGTGCTGGCAGCTTAGAAGGAATCGGTTCTTCGGTTCAAAAAAAGGTGCCGGAACGCCGTTCCGTGCGTTCTATGACGAAAAAAGCCCTGTAAATAACCATTCACAAGACCCTATTATATATCCATAATATAGTTGCAATTGAATATTTCCATTAGTTGTCTGTAAAACCAGAAGACTTCACTCCCTATTTCTTCACTGATTAATGAAATTTATTATTTTACATTAGGCCTGGCTAATAGCACTGAGAAGTAAATAGCACCAGCAATTATTGGTATTTTAATAAATCTTACTGCTGGAAAATTGTGCTCATTGTATATACATATGACATGAGCACTTTGATTCTGTGCTTGGTTATTTCTGATAAACACAACTAGATCAATGGGATTTATATTCTGAGATGTGTATATTAAAAAATAAATCCCATTGATTTAATTGTGTCTGAGATGAGTATATTAAAAAATAAATCCCATTGATTTAATTGTGTTTATCTGAATAACCAAGCACAAGATCAAAGTTGTGTGTGTGTGTGTGTGTGTGTGTGTGTGTAGGATTACATAAGCCCTGTTAAACTTTGCATTTTTTTCTAAATAGAAAATTTGTAAATGTGTTTCCTAATTTCATATTGGATGTGGTATACAAAATATATTTTTAAGAAAATCTGGTACAAAAGCTCACATGGATGAAAACACTCATGCTATTTTTTTCTTTAAGTAGAGTATATGAGCAATAATATCTAATGTAGGACAGTAGTTTATGATGATTTAAACCTAATAATTGTAATAAATATGTTGGCCTATTGTTATTCTTTCACCAGTTTGCAAATCTTTGGTAGAGATAAGTTGTCAGTAATTGTAGACATGCGGCACATTAAAAATAAATAGGCGTGAGAACTCAATCTAACATACCTAATGAGGTATCAAGATCTCCTTCGTCCTCCATACTAATCTACATAGCTCTCCTTCCCATGATGCCAGTCTTGCAAAGTGACAAGACAAAAAACAAACCAAGATGAACTACCGGGAGCTTATTATTATTGTAAGGTTTCATTAACAGATCTTGTTTTTACAGCCCAAAAAACCTAGGGAGTGTTCCTTCTGAGTTTATTCTTGCTGCAAGCTAAGTTATCTCTTATCTAGCTATTCCCCTGGCTGTAGTTTTACTGTCTCCCAAGAGCATTCCCACATACCATTACACGTGCTTACTATTTGCATTGGTCTAATGCAGTGTTTCTCAATCTTGACAATTTTAAGGCAAGTGGACTTCAACTCCCAGAATTCCACAGCCAGCAATGCTGGCTGTGGAATTCTGGGAGTTGAAGTCCACATGCCTTAAAATTATCAAGGTCGAGAAACACTGGTCTAATGCAAATAGCAGGTTATAAAGGATGGGAGAATTTATAGTTCCATAACTGATAAATGTATCCCTAAATGAACTGTAATTGCTAATAAAGCTGCCATTTTCCTGCATTTGAGCAAGCAATACTAATTTATCCTGCATCTTCATCTTCTAGAAATGGCCAATGAGATCACGCCTATACATTGGAGCATCAGGACAGTTTTTGAATCCCTCAGTGCGAACAGAAAATGTAAATCAAGGAGAAGCCTCAACAAATTCTCAAATTTAATCCATTTTTTCTTAAATGCTGTTGTATTTATTATTCCAGATATATTTAAATTGAGTCTTCCAATATCTGTGATATTTCTTCCAATTGACCAGCGCCCTTAGATGGTAGACTTGAAATTCAGCATGTTAGTTCAGATTGCTTTCTTCACAGCCGGGGACAATGTGTTCATCTTAGTTGTGCAGTATAATTCATTTGTTTCTTACAGTTATTATTTCTCAAAAGGCAAAATATATTTTTCATTGTGTGGATGTTGCTACTATTGAAATCCATAAGATACCAGCTCATGTATCATCTTGTTTATGAGAACAGATCCTTTTCTTTGTGAAGAAATGGCTGAATGTAATGTAGTGGATAATTTACAAGCATTCTGCGATCTTTGTTGATGATTTATGAAATATGGATTGTTGTACCCGAATTCTGAAGAAATTAAATAAGGTAACCAGATAGTTGATTTTTAAGGTAACGTTTAAAAGCTGAGCTGCTTAGAGTCACCTTGAACTGCGAGACGGGCTGAAATAAATTTGATAAAGAAATAAAATAAATAATGCATCCAAGCTTTGGGGACTTTTAACTAAGAAGAGCTCTGCAGAACTATCTCATGTATTCCAGTGATCTATGTCATAATTTGCCATATGTATCAGAGAATTGTGATAGTTTACATGGCAATTGTCTTCTCACACAGGTTATCCTCAACATTTGTCATATTCAAAGATAAACAAATGAACTCAGAAATCTAAATTGCAATTGTGTTCAATAATTATTGAGATCTTAGTTCAAGCCCTCAGTATTAAAGTAGCTGGTGTTTTGAAGAATTTATCCAAGAAATAACATTGCAAAACTGGATGTATGGATTTTAGATATGAAATTCTATTGATGTTATAGAGTATCTCAGCAATAAAACGTTGTTTTGAAGAATAAGTTACAGCTTTCACACTTTCTAAAAAATGTCCAAAATTCTTTTTACAAGGTGTTGTTATAAACTGTACATCTATTATTTTTTCATAAATATTTGATCATTTTATTTATACTGTGTATGTAGTCATTTTCAATTTACAACAATTCATACATCTAATGAAACTGATCTTGAGAAATGTATGCCCTACCTTTCTATCAGTTTGTAGGGTGCCTGAAGATTCTTTACTCTTACTATTACAAATCAAGACAGCTCTCACACTAGAGATATTTATTACTTACATGCTGTTTTTAGATAAAATTATTTAATTTTCTCTGCTGAAATGTTTGTATGTTAACTAGCAGAAACAAAAGTTATTCCAAAACACAAGTGTCACATAAAAATAATGTACGCAGCTTTGTACATTAAATATGTCTATTATACCTATAGTATAATTTGCTATTGGTTGTGTTTATCTGTATCTTGAAATTACCAATTATTTTGGGAAAGAGCTTGTTTCTGCTTCAACATATGTATACTTTATAAATGGTGGTTACCCCAGGATATGAAGCTTGCATATTTGAGTAATTTGATTTAATATATTTGCATGTAAGCAACAATAATTACAAGTACAGACAATTTTTCTTATTGTATGAATAAATAATTAGCAAAATTGTGTTTGTTATTATGTACTTTTTAAAACTACCATGATTTTTTTTTAATGCAAACATTTCCTGGGAAGCCAAAAAAATCAGCTGAAAGGTTTTTAGGAAATTGTGCATCTTTTAGTAAAATTGGGATTTTAAGTAAATTATCATTATGGATCAAGCCACTTATCATAATTGAGGAATACTCTAGTGAACTGTACATGTTCAGTGATTTTTTTTATCAAGTGATTATAAGCAAAGGAAAGAAAACTGGTTAAAAAGAATAGTGCTGTTGTTTTATTTGAATTTCTAACATTGTGACAGCATAATACAAAAGAGAACAAATGCTGCCCTGTGTATTTTACAGGCCTTGTGAGAAGTCATATCTTTTAGTAATAATCTACCCTTAATTCCAACAATTAACTTTAATTCCACCAAAATATGCATAAACATTTCATAGTTAGGCATGTATGCAGAGAAAAAAAATAATACTTCTTTATCTGAATATAGTCATTACTTTAGTATCATTTTCTTTCCATTTTATTTTCCCACCCTTCACACACTTCAGCTTTATTCTGGAATGTTCTAAGCCAGTGGTGGCGAACCTATGGCGTGGGTGCCAGAGGCGGCACTCAGAGCCCTCTCTGTGGGCACGCGTGCCGTCACCCCAGTCCTAGGCCTTCAGCTGGGTTTTATAAAACCTTTTCGCTTTAGGCCTCCGCCGCCGTGCAAAAAAAAAAAAAAGGTTCAATCAGTCAACTTCTCGTGGGGAAAAAAAGATCTTGCAAAGTTGGAATTGACTGAACTTTTTAGTCCCACCCAGTCTGTCGTTACCACTGCAGCCATGCCCACCCAATGGGCCACACCCACCCAATTGGCCACACCCACCCGGCACCCAACAATGCATAAGGGGGTTTGGGTTGCAGTTTGGGCACTCGGTCTCTAAAAGGTTCGCCATCACTGTTCTAAGCAATCTCTAAAAAACAAATGGAGACTGGGAAGTCATATATTAACTCAAAACATATTTAACTTGAGGATATGATATTGTAATTGCAAATACAAATACATTGCTTACGCTATTTAGAATAATTCTCCTAATTCCTAAAAGTACATGTATGTATTTTGTGTGTGTAGTTATGTCACATTTTTGCATGAGAAAATATAATGGAAATACTCTTTAATGGATGTAATTTTTCTATCCAGTTCAAATTTGCTTTAAAGTGTTTGTATTTATTTTTTATCCAGTTTATTATTTTTAAATTAATTAAATAAACATAACTAATGCTCCTTTCTTCCCATAATAACCCAACGAGGTGAGTTGGGCTCAGAAAGAGTGACCAGCCTAAAATCATCCTGCTGGCTTTCATGCCTAAGGAGAACCAGAGTTCAGTCTTCTGTTGCCTCAGTGGTGAGATTCAAATAATTTAATAACTGGTTCTCTGCAGTGGGGGAGTCACTACCACAAGGCAGGTGGGAGAGGGGGGAACTGCCCCATTCACTCTGCAACCGCTTACCGAGCCGAAGGCCCCCCGCAGCCAGGCCTACCACGCCCTGGCACCCATCTCACTTTGTTCGGTAGTGAGTTGTCCCACTTTCTCCGTCGTCAATCTTTTGAACAGCCCTTTGCTCCTGTTTCTGCTTTTTCAGTCCCGGGGTTTTATCTGGAGCCTGTCTAGAGAGTCTTTGGAAATGAAGCCCCACAGCGATCGGGTGGAGTGGGAAGCATTCCCTTCGCTTTTGAACCAGCTCCAAAATGGGCTGGAAGGAGCGGCCTGAGGATTCCAATTTGGCTTTGCAACAAGCAAGGGCAAACTTTACAGAAAGTTAAACAGTATGGCAGCGAAAATCCAGCACGGGGGGGAAAAAACCTGTTTTTTTTAGATGCCAGACTAGCGTGCATTCAAAGCCAGATTGCAGCAAGTGAGAAATTGGAGGAACATGAATGCACGCTAGTCTGGCCACTTCGGACCCCGTTCCCTGAATTTATGAAAAAATTAGGTATCGGTTCTGCTGAACCGGTGCGAACCCGCTGAATCCCACCACTGTGTTGCTTTAATGCTATGCATTCTAAGAATATGTAAATATTTTCCCCCAAAAATATGCAATGTGATATGGCATTTGAGATCTGTGATGCTATTATTTCAAATTTAAATGTAATCCAAAGCACATTGTACACATATTACAAACAAACTTTTCATTCCTGAAGAGCAATAATCTAAACGATTTAATATATATGAAAAAAGAATGGTGAAGAAAAGGATAGGAAACAATATCAGGCATTAATTTTTAAGGTTATGCAGTACTTATAATGAATGGAAACAATAGAGGACGCATGAATTCAGGAAGCAATTCCATCATTATTCCTATAGCAGGAACACTAACAAAAAATCTTGATGGATAAGAAAGGGCAAGTCTACACTGGCGTATCTTTATCATTAGCATGCAAAAAAAAAGGAATAGGAGGAACTCTGTATAGTACTAAGACATGATACCTACAATATCTGTCTCCTGCCTCACAAAGATCTCAACTTTACAATTCCTCAGCTTTTAGTTGTTGAAGCACTCTTCAATTCACAACAGAAATGGAAATGTTCTTATTTCCCCTTTTCAGTGTAATTTTAAATCATATCTTGCTTCTGAATGTCCCTGAGATCATAATGATATAAAATAAACCTGTGAGCAAATTATAGGTCCTTTCCACATTTGCTGGCACATAGCATAAACATGTCCTGGCAATATCATTATTTTCTATTGGCCTTCATCTATTCCCAGCCCTTGAGTGAAAAGGCTTAAACCATTGTACTTAAGTATCTATCAATTAAACCTTTATTACAGTCATAGACCAGAATAAGGAGGGCAAGATAGTGTTAAAATAGTATTTCTCTTTATTCACCCACCATCTAAGTAACTTCAAGATATTAACCTTTGTCACCCATCATCTTAGAGAGAAACAAGCAACCAGTAGTAGTTGGAAGTAGAAGTGGCAGGTTAGAGATTGGCAATTGGGATAGCAAATATCATGCTGCTACAGTTGTCCTTGACTTACAACCATTTGTTTAGTGACCGTTCAAAGTTACAATGGTACTGAAAAAAGTGACTTATAACCATTTTCCAAACTTAAAACAATTGAATCATCCTCATGGTCATCTGATCAAGATTTGGGCACTTGACAACTAGCGCATATTTATGATGGCTGAAATGTTGTGGGATCATATGACATGCAAAGTCAATTGGGAAACCAGATTCACTTAACTGCAGTGATTCACTTAACAACTATGGCAAGAAATGTGATAAAAGGAGCAAAATTCACTTAACAATTATCTTGCTTAGCAACAGAAATTTTGGGTGCAATTGTGGTCGTGGTCAAGAACTACCTCTAGTTTTTTTTTCTAATTTCAGTGAAGAATGGATAGCAGTGAGAAAGAGCCATAGCTAGATCAACTGGCCCAATTCATCCATTGCTAGCATGGCTCAAGTCAGTAATATTGCATAAGCCGGACCATAAATGTTTGCTCTTCAGAGTGGTTAATGTATTTGCCAAGGCCCTGTTGTGTTTTTTTTTTCTGTGTTGTATTTTTATTTTTTTATTTTTTTCTATATGGGCCCAGTCTCTTCAACATCTTCATCAATGATTTGGATGAGGGGATAGAAGGGGAACTCATCAAATCTGCAGACGACACCAAGCTGGCTGGAATAGCCAATACTCCATAAGATAGGCTTAAGATACAGAAGGATCTTGACAGACTTGAACATTGGGCACTATCTAACAAAATTAAATTCAATGGTGAAAAAAAGTAAAGTTCTACATTTAGACAAGAAAAACCAAATGCACAGGTATAGTATAGGTCAGGGGTAGGCAACCTTGGCTCTTTTATGACTCGTGGACTTCAGTTCCCAGAATTCCTGAGCCAGCTATGCTCAGGAATTCTGGGAGTTGAAGTCCATGAGTCATAAAAGAGCCAAGGTTGCCTACCCCTGGTATAGGTGGTACCTTGCTCAATAGTAATAACTATGAGAGGGATCTCAGAATCCTAATGGACAATCACTTAAATATGAGCCAGCAGTGTGCTGCAGCTGCTAAAAAAGCCGACACAGTGCTAGGCTGCATTAACAGAGGGATAGAATCAAGATCACGTGAAATGTTAATATCACTTTACAATGCCTTGGTAAGGCCACAATTGGAATACTGCATCCAGTTTTGGTCACCACCATGTAAAAAAGATGTTGAGACTCTAGAAAGAATACAGAGAAGAGCAATAAAGATGATTAGGGAACTGGAGGCTAAAACATGTAAGGAACGGTTGCTGGAATTGAGTATATCTAGTTTAATAAAAAGAAGGATGAGGGGGGACACAATAGCAGTGTTCCAATATCTCAGGGGTTGCCACAAAGAAGAGGGAGTCAAGCTATTCTCCAAAGCCTGAAGGAAGGACAAGAAGCAACAGATGGAAACTAACCAAAGAGAGAAGCAACCTAGAACTAAGGAGAAATTTCCTGACAGTTAGAACAATTAATCAGTGGAACAACCTGCCTCCAAAAGTTGTGAATGCTCCAGCACAGGAAGTTTTTAAGAACCTGGACAGCCATTTATCTGAAATAGTATAGGGTTTCCTGCCTGAGCAAGGGGTTGGATTAGATGACCTCCAAGGTCCCTTCCAACTTTATTATTATTAAGATGACCAACTTTTTTACGATGAGGACACAAATTAATTGAAGAAAAAAAGTGAGTCTAATGTGTGCGTGTCGTGTCATGTTTCAGTAAGAAGTAAACAAAGCCACTTGCGTGCGATACACTCTTGCACGCAACACACTCTCTCAAAACAATTTTCCTGTGCAGAGCGCCTGCATCTCATAATTGTGCCTCACCGTACTATACCAAGCCTTGATGAATTGTCATGTCAAATACAAATATGTCATATCACACGCAACGGATCAGATCAGCATCAATCGAATACGGAGATTTTCAGATTAGTCTTCAACTATCAAAAAGGAGGACATGTAGGACACCTTTCGAGAAAGGACAGAA